TGGAATTTTTGGCAGTCCGTACTCTGTTTGGTGGGGGGGGTAAGTTAGGCGGCCCGTTTTCCCTCAGTATGGGGGATATATAGTTTGGGGGTGGTAATTAGGGGGCCCGTATGTCCCAGTTTGGGGGGGTGGTAAGTTAGGGGGCCCCAATCCTCATTTTGGTGGGGGGGTAAGTTAGGGGGCCCGATGTCCCATTTTTGGGGGGGGTAAGTTAGGCGGCCCGTAGTCCTCATTTGGGGGTTTAATTTAGGCGGCCCGATGCCCAGTTTGGTGGGGGGTGTTAAGTAGGGGCCCCCTATGTCCTCAGTTTGGGGGGGGGAAAGTTAGGGGGGCCCGTTGTCGTGTTCTTCCGACTCCAGCTGATAAATGTTGTGTTTTTTGGTTGATAAATGGTGAGACACGGGAACCCCCCCCCCCTCCCCCCCGGGGGGGTGACGTTGACAGTACGAGGCCCCCCTGTATTGTACACACAGCCCCCCCCCATGGGGAGAACAGAGGAGTCATGTCATTGTTCCTATATATAGTACTGTGGAGGGGGGGGGGGCCACAATTGTTGGAATTTCCCGGGGTGCAGATTGTTCTGGGGGGGCGGTATTGCGGGGGGATGATTTAGAATAGGAATTTTTACAAAATTTCTGCAGTCCCGTCCTCTTTTGTATACCCAAATTTTAAAGCTCCATAGAAATCTGTATACCCATCATATATACCCTTTTTTACATGTGCGTGTTGTTGTGCGCCTGTCTCCCTTGGACAAGTAGGTTGTGTGTGCGCTGTTCTCCCCCTTGTACATGACGTGTTGTGGTGCCCGTGTCTCCTCTGGTACAAAGTAGCGTGTTGTGTCTCCTCGTGTACAATGTAACGTGTTGTGTCTCCCTGTTACAATGTAGCTGTTTTTTCCCCTGTTCAATGTACGTGTTGTGTCTCCTCTGTGTACAATTACGTGTTGTGTCTCCTCTGTTACAATGTAGCTGTTTTTTTCTCCTCTGTAAAAAAGTACGTTTGTGTGTGCACCTGTGCTGTAGCCCCCCCCCCTGCAGTTTGGTAATGGTGGGGGGGGGGGGGGTAGTAGACAGTCATTGGCGATTATCACACCGTAGTCACTCCCCCCCCCCAGTGATTGGCCGTCATCACACGGTGTCACAGAAACAGATCTAGCCACGTTCTGTGTAATCGGGTGTCACCGCAGAGCAGACACTCCTGGAGCCTCCAGGTGACCTGAACCTGAGTGACGTGTGATGTTCCATGACCGTGGGAGGGGAGAAACAGTGTGTCTGGAGGTCCATGACCTGGGAGGGGAGAACAATGTGTGAGGTTCCATGAACCTGGGAGGGGAGAACAATGTGTGAGTTCCATGACTGGGATGGGGAGAACAATGTGTGAGGTTCCATGACTGGGAGGGATAACAATGTGGAGGTTTCATGAGCAAGTTGAGTGAGAGAACACGGTGTGAGGTTCCATGACCTGGGAGGGGGGGGAGAACCAATGTGTGAGGTTCCATTAATGCCTGGGGGGGAGTGAGAACCATGTGTGCGGTTCCTATGACCTGGGGTGGGGGAGGAACAATGTGTGAGGGTTCCATGATCCTCGGGGGGGGGAGAGAACAAGTGTGTGAGGTTCCATGACCGGGGGGGGGGAGAGAACAGGTGTGTGAGTTATCCATGACCGGGGGTGTGGGGGTTTAGAACAACGTGTGCGGTTCCATGACCGGGGGGAGGGGGTAGAACAATGTGTGGAGGTACCCATGACCTGTGGGGGGGAGGGAGAGAACAATGAGTGAGGTTCCTATGACCCTGGGAGGGGAGAACAATGGTGTGAGGTTCCATGCACCGGGGGGGGGGGTTGTGGTAGAACAATGTGTGAGGTTCCACATGATCGTGGGGGGGGGGGGGTTAGAACAATGTGGTGAGGTTTCCATGACCTTGTAGAGTTCGAGAACCAAATGTGTGAGGTTCCATGGACCTTGGGGAGGGGAGAACTATGTTGAGGTGCCATGTACCTGGGGGGGGGGGGTGGTGATTAGAACAATGTGTGAGGTTTCCATGACTCTGGGGGGGAGGGGAGAACAATGTGTGAGGTTCCATGACCGGGGGGGGGAGAACAATGTGTGAGGTTCCATGACCGGGGGTTGAGAACAGGATAGTGTGAAGGTGCCATGACCGGACCGGGGGGGGTGGTAGAACAATGTGTTTTGAGGTTCCATGACCGGGGGGGGGAGGGAGAACAGTGTGTGAGGTTTCCATGACCTGGGAGGGGAGAACAGTGTGTGAGGTTCCATGACCCTGGAGGGGAGAACAATGTGTGAGGTTCCATGACCTGGGAGGGAGAGAACAATGTGTGAGGTTCCCATGACCTGGGGGGGGAGTGGTGAGAAGAACAATGTGTGAGGTTCCATGACCAGGGGGCGGGGGGGGGAGAAACATGTGTGAGGTGCCATGACCTGGGGGGGGAACAAATGTGTAGAGGTTCCATGACCGGGGGGGGGGGAGAACAATGTGTGGAGGTTTCCATGACCTGAACAGGTTCCATGACAAGGGGGGGGAGAACAGTGTGTGAGGTTCCATGACCTGGGAGGAGGAGAACAATCAGGTGGGTCCCTGACCTGGGAGGGGAGAAACAATGTGTGAGGTTCCATGACTGGGGGGGGGGGGAGAGAACAATGTGTGAGGTTCCATGACCGGGGGGGGGGGGGGGGGGAGAACAATGTGTGGTTCCATCATACCGGGGGGGGGGGGGGGGGGGTATAGTTCCATAGAACAATGATGTGACAGGTTCCATGACCGGGGGGGGGGGGGGGGGTATTGACCGGGAGGGAGAACAATGTGTGAGTTCCCATGACCTGGGAGGGGAGAACAATGTGTGAGGTTCCCCCAAGACCTGGGAGGGGGACCGAGAACAATGTAGGTGTGACCGGGTGAGAACACCCCATGAGGTTCCATGGGGGGGGGGGGGGGATAACAATGTGTGAAGATCCATGACCTGGGGGGGGGGGGAGTGTGAATGACCTGCAGGTGAGGTTGAGGTCCATGACCGGGGGGGGGGGAGGTTCCAAGTGTGTGAGGTTGATTCCTTGACCGGGGGGGGAGAAACAATGTGTGAGGTTCCATGACTTCTATACCGGGGGGGGAACAATGGGGGGGGGGGTGAAGAACAATGTGTGAGGTTCCATGACCTTTCCGGGGGGGGGGTGTAGAACAATGTGTGAGGTTCCATGACCTGGGGGGGGGGGAGAACAATGTGTGAGGTTCCATGACCTGGGAGGGGGAGAACAATGTGTGAGGTTCCATGACCTGGGGGGGAGAACAATTGTGTGGAGGTTCCATGACCTGGGGAGGGGAGAACAAATGTGTGAGGTTCCATGACCTGGGGGGGGGGGAGAACAATGTGTGAGGTTCCATGACCGGGGGGGGGGAGAGTGGACAATGTGTTGTGAGGTTTTCCATGACCGGGGGGGGGAGAACAATGTGTGGGTTCCATGAGAACAATGTGGGGGGGGGGGTAGAACAATGTGTGAGGTTCCATGGCGGGGGGGGGGGGGGGGTAGAACAATGTGTGAGGTTCCATGACCTGGGAGGGGAGAACAATGTGTGAGGTTCCATGACCTGGGAGGGGAGAACAATGTGTGTGAGGTTCCATGGACCTGGGGGGGGGAGAACAATGTGTGAGGTTCCATGACGGGGGGGGGGTGAGAACAATGGTGTGAGGTTCCATGATCTGGGAGGGGGAAACAATGTGTGAGGTTCCATGACCTGGGAGGGGAGAACAATGTGTGAGGTTCCATGACGGAGGGGGGGGGGACCTGGGCGGGGAACAATGTGTGAGGTTCCATGACGGAGGGGGGGTGGTAGGGGGAGGTTTCAATGGGAGAACAATGTGTGAGGTTCCATGACCCATCAGCTGTCTCTTGGTGTCGCTCCCAGCAACAGGAATGACACCAGACCTGCAGACCGGATCCGGCTGATGTCATTGTGTTTTTATTTTTCTTGTTGGTCGATTTGTGATCATGTGACTGAGCTGGCTCCTCCTCCTCTCCCCGCAGGAACATCTTCCCCTCCAATCTGGTCTCCGCGTGTTTCCAGTCGGTGAGTTCTCTGTTCTCATTGTTTACTTTCTGGGCGATGTAAGCCGAACGATTCCCCCGTATCAGGGCGGGTCCTTGTATGATACCTGCCACGTGACCCCCCTTCATATCAGGGGGCGGGTCCTTGTATGATACCTGCCACGTGACCCCCCCTTCATATCAGGGGGCGGGTCCTTGTATGATACCTGCCACGTGACCCCCTTCATATCAGGGGGCGGGTCCTTGTATGATACCTGCCACGTGACCCCCCTTCATATCAGGGGCGGGTCCTTGTATGATACCTGCCACGTGACCCCCCTTCATATCAGGGGGCGGGCCCTTGTATGATACGTGCCATGTGACCCCCCCTTCATATCAGGGGGCGGGTCCTTGTATGATACCTGCCACGTGACCCCCCCTTCATATCAGGGGGCGGGTCCTTGTATGATACCTGCCATGTGACCCCCCTTCATATCAGGGGGCGGGGTCCTTGTATGATACCTGCCACGTGACCCCCTTCATATCAGGGGGCGGGTCCTTGTATGATACCTGCCACGTGACCCCCCTTTCATATCAGGGGGCGGGTCCTTGTATGATACCTGCCAGGTGACCCCTCCCTCCATATCAGGGGGCGGGTCTTGTATGATACCTGCCAGGTGACCCCCCCCCTCCATATCAGGGGGCGGGTCCTTGTATGATACCTGCCAGGTGACCTCTCAGGGGGCGGGGCCCTTGTGTGATACTTGCCAGGTGACCTATATCGGGGGGCGGGGCCCTTGTGTGATACCTGCCAGGTGACCTATATCGGGGGGCGGGGCCCTTGTGTGATACCTGCCAGGTGACTTCTATATATGGGGGGGGGGGGAGCTAATCTGAAGGCAGAGCTCCTGATGTATAGATACCTCCCAATGGTAGAGCCCTTTCTCTGGTCGGATCTGGCGGTGTGTGGTGGGGACGCGGTGGCTGGCGGTGTGTGGTGGGGACGCGGTGGCTGGCGGTGTGTGGTGGGGGACGCGGTGGCTGGCGGGTGTGTGGTGGGGACGCGGTGGCTGGCGGTGTGTGGTGGGGACGGGGTGGCGGGCGGATCTGGCGGAGTGTGGTGGGGACGCGGTGGCGGGCGGATCTGGCAGTGTGTGGTGGGGACGCGGTGGCTGGCGGTGTGTGGTGGGGACGCGGTGGCTGGCGTGGTGTGTGGTGGGGACGCGGGTGGCGGGCGGATCTGGCAGTGTGTGGTGGGGACGCGGTGGCTGGCGGTGTGTGGTGGGGACGCGGTGGCTGGCGGTGTGTGGTGGGGACGCGGTGGCTGGCGGTGTGTGGTGGGGACGCGGTGGCTGGCGGTGTGTGGTGGGGACGCGGTGGCTGGCGGTGTGTGGGGGGACGCGGTGGCTGGCGGTGTGTGTGGTGGGGACGCGGTGGCGGGGCGGATCTGGCGGTGGGTGGTTGGGGACGCGGGGGCGGTGCGGGCGGATCTGGCGGTGGGTGGTGGGGACGCGGCGGCGGGCGGATCTGGCGGTGGGTGGTGGGGACGCGGCGGCGGGCGGATCTGGCGGTGGGTGGTGGGGACGCGGCGGCGGGCGGATCTGGCGGTGGGTGGTGGGGACGCGGCGGGCGGTCGGATCTGCAGGGGTGTGTGGTGGGGGACGCGGCGGCGGTCGGATCTGGCGGTGGGTGGTGGGGACGCGGCGGCGGTCGGATCTGGCGGTGTGTGGTGGGGACGCGGCGGCGGTCGGATCTGGCGGTGTGTGGTGGGGACGCGGCGGCGGTCGGGATCTGGCGGTGGGTGGTGGGGACGCGGCGGCGGTCGGATCTGGCGGTGGGTGGTGGGACGCGGGGCGGCGGTCGGATCTGGCGGTGTGGGTGGGGGACGCGGCGGCGGTCGGATCTGGCGGTGGGTTGGTGGGGACGCGGCGGCGGTCGGATCTGGCGGTGGGTGGTGGGGACGCGCGGGCGGTCGGATCTGGCGGTGGGTGGTGGGGACGCGGCGGCGGTCGGATCTGGCGGGGGGTGGTGGGGACGCGGCGGCGGTCGGATCTGGCGGTGGGGTGGTGGGGACGCCCGGCGGCGGTCGGATCTGGCGGTGGGTGGTGGGGACGCGGCGGCGGTCGGATCTGGCGGTGGGTGGTGGGGACGCGCGGCGGCGGTCGGATCTGGCGGTGGGTGGTGGGGACGCGGCGGCGGTCGGATCTGGCGGTGTGTGGTGGGGACGCGGCGGCGGTCGGATCTGGCGGTGTGTGGTGGGGACGCAGTGGTGGTCATTGAATGGTCTTTCTCTTGCAGTACGCCACGTTCTATACGCTACAACCGGAGAATAAGAACTCTACCAATGTATCGGATGTCACAGATGTGTCCAACCTAACCGACCTGAAGGTCATCAAGGTGAGTTCTGCCCCTTCCCAGCCTCACCCCGAGTCTCTCTATACCCCCCCCCCAACCCCCCCCCCAGTCTCTCTATACCTCCCCTCCCCTGAGTCTCTATACCAGGGGTAGGCAACCTTGGCACACCAGTTGTGGTGAGACTACAAATCCCATCATAACTCGTCGTCTCGGCATCATTCCTGTGGTGGTCAGTCTTTCAGCGCCCCGATGGAGTGCTGAGGTTGCCTACCCTTGCTCTGTATCCTCACCCAGTGCCCCGTCTCTCTCGCTCCCTCATGTCCCTCGCTCCCGTGCCCCGTCTCTCTCTCGCCCCCGTGTCCCTCACCCAGTGCCCCGTCTCTCTCGCTCCCCTGTCCCTCACCCAGGGTCTCTATAAATGTTATCTGATGGCCCGTCTCCCTCACCTGTCTCCTAAATACATCCTTTGGTACCCCTTTTCTGACTCCTCTGATGGCCTTTCTGTCCTGTATGCTATCTTGAACCTGTGTTGTCCTCCAGGTTGCTTATGGAAAGGAGGTGGAGGGGATGAACACATGGGGTCTGGCGGTCTCTCTGTTCTGCACACTATCTTGCCCCTGGTCCTCTCACCTTTTGTTGTCCTCCAGGTCCCTTATGGGAAAGTGCTGAAAGGGGGGTGAACAGATTGGGTTTGCTGTTCTTCCTGTTCTGTCCTTCATGCTATGTTGTCCCTGGTCCTCACATCTGTGTTTGTCCTCCAGGTTCTCCATGCGTAGGAAATGGAGGGGATTGCACATATTTGGACTGGTGGTCTCTTCCTGTTCTGTCCTGCATGCTCTGTTGTCCCTAGTCCTCACATCTCCAGGTTCTTTTACAGGAAGGAGGTGGAAGGGATGACCATATTGGGTCTGGTGGTCTTCCTGTTCTGTCCTTCACTCCGTTGTCCTCTAGGTTCCATATGGGGTGGAAAGGGGATGAACATATTGGGTCTGGTGGTCTTTGTTTTGTCATGCATGCTATGTTGTCCCTGGTCCTCACACCTTTGTCATTCTCCTAGGTTCCCTATGGGAAGGAGGAGGTGGAGGGGGATGAACATATTGGGTCTGGTGGTCTTTGTTTTGTCATGCATGCTATGTTGTCCCTGGTCCTCACACCTTTTTGTCCTCCTAGGTTCCATATGGGAAGGGATGACCATATTGGGTCTGGTGGTCTTCCTGTTCTGTCCTTCACTCCGTTGTCCTCTAGGTTCCATATGGGGTGGAAAGGGGATGAACATATTGGGTCTGGTGGTCTTTGTTTTGTCATGCATGCTATGTTGTCCCTGGTCCTCACCCTTTATCATCTTCCTAGGTTCCCTATGGGAAGGAGGTGGAGGGGATGAACATAATGGGTCTGGTGGTCTTTGTTTTGTCATGCATGCTATGTTGTCCCTGGTCCTCACACCTTTATCATCTTCCTAGGTTCCCTATGGGAAGGAGGTGGAGGGGATGAACATATTGGGTCTGGTGGTCTTTGTTTTGTCATGCATGCTATGTTGTCCCTGGTCCTCACACCTTTATCATCTTCCTAGGTTCCCTATGGGAAGGAGGTGGAGGGGATGAACATATTGGGTCTGGTGGTCTTTGCCATTGTCTTCGGAGTGGCTCTAAGGAAGTTGGGAGCTGAGGGAGAAATTCTCATCAAGTTCTTCAACTCCTTCAATGAGGCTACCATGGTGCTGGTGGCATGGATCATGTGGTGAGTATCCTGGAAGATGGCTGCCTGTGTAACCACTGAGCACCACAGAGATCTGACTGGTCCCTCTTCCTCAGGTACGCCCCGGTGGGTATCATGTTCCTGGTGGCCGGGAAGATTGTGGAGATGGAGAACGTCATCGTACTTTTCACCAGCCTCGGGGAAGTACATTTGCTGCTGCATTGTGGGGCACGCCATCCATGGGCTCATTGTCCTGCCGCTCATATACTTCGCCTTCACGCGGAAGAACCCGTACCGCTTCCTGTGGGGCATTGTGAGCGCTCTGGCCACGGCGTTCGGCACTTCCTCCAGGTAGGTGGACATTCAGATTTGTGAAATCTACACACCAGTTCATGTAAACGCCTCCCAGAGGCTCTAAATGCCAGGAGGTGCAGGCGGGCGTTCTGATCATGTGAGCTCCGTGATTGGTAGTCAGAGGTCACATGGTTAGAAAGCTCCCAATTAAAAGTATACATCTGGAGCTTTCTGGAATCCACTGGTCACTGTGCTGGGAGCACGCTCTGATTGGCTGCTTATGTTGTGCCTCCGCTCAGTGCAGCAGGTGAAGGATCGGGAATTTCTTTCTTGTGTTCTGATTGGTCTTTGAAGCATTTCTTGTGTTCTGATTGGTCTGCGTTCTCTTCCAGCTCTGCTACACTGCCCCTGATGATGAAATGCGTGGAGGAGAAGAACGGCGTGTCCAAGCAGATCAGCAGGTTCATCCTCCCGATTGGTGCCACGGTGAACATGGACGGTGCTGCCTTATTCCAGTGTGTGGCGGCGGTGTTCATCGCTCAGCTCAACAACCGTCCGCTGGACTTCATCTCCATCATCACCATCCTGTAAGTGCCGCTGTGATTGGCTGCGTTCTGTGTTCCCAGCCTCTGTATTCCGGGACCCTCCCAATAATTCCGTGTCTCCTCCAATGTAGAGTTACAGCCACGGCGTCCAGTGTGGGGGCTGCTGGGATCCCGGCCGGAGGGGTGCTGACTCTGGCCATTATCCTGGAGGCGGTGGGACTTCCAACCAACGACATTTCCCTCATCCTGGCGGTGGATTGGTTGGTGTAAGTATCATTCACGCTCCTATTTCCTGCTCCCGGGGTGTGGAGGGCGAGACTTCCTGGTATGGAATGTGGTGGAGGTTGTAGATTGAGTCCATTATCAAATGACAGCTGCAGGTTCTGGAGAGTGCAACGCCGAACCCCCCCGGTGACCCCGAGCCGATTATGAAATCTTACGACTTCCGGTGAAGACTTCAGATGGTATTCCAACTTGGGATGTGACTTGCAAGACACAGAAGTCTATGTAGGTCTCACCTGAAGTCGTAGATGTGCTACTTGAGAAATCTGTGTGGCTCCGACCAAGAATTGCACCGATATGACTGCTGTCATTGCGGACAATAGGGTGTGACTGGGGACTTGGTCTTGGGAAAGGTGGGGTGACTGGGGACTTGATCTTGGGAACGGTGGGGTGACTGGGGACTTGATCTTGGGAACGGTGGGGTGACTGGGGACTTGGTCTTGGGAACGGGTGGGGTGACTGGGGACTTGGTCTTGGGAACGGTGGGGTGACTGGGGACTTGGTCTTGGGAACGGTGGGGGTGACTGGGGACTTGGTCTTGGGAACGGTGGAGTGACTGGGGACTTGGTCTTGGGAACGGTGGGGTGACTGGGGACTTGGGAACGGTGGGGTGACTGGGGACTTGGTCTTGGGAACGGTGGGGGTGACTGGGGACTTGGTCTTGGGAACGGTGGGGGGGACTTGGTCTTGGGAACGGTGGGGGTGACTGGGGACTTGGTCTTGGGAACGGTGGGGTCAAAGGTGGTGTAGTTTGGCCCATAACTATGTGATTGGTGCAGCTTTATCACACGTTGTTCGTTTGTGTCCTGGAACCCAGAAGGGTGACAATCATGGGGAAGGGTGACCAGTTCTGAGGAAGATCTGATTCAGGGGGAACCTCTATGGGGAACCTCTTCTATAAATGGCCTCAGCAGGACACTGGACTCCTCAATGAAATGGAAATGTGAGAGTCTCCTCCATCGCCCGGCTTCCTTGTGGCTGACTGCAGGTTAATCAACCATAGTCATGTCTGGTCACTAAAGGAACCAATCGGCATTCAGCCTGCTGTGTGGGCAACCAATGAAATGAAGGCTATTTTTCCATCCTCGTGGAAGGATTCAGGGTTGGGTGTAGAGCAGACATTGCTAAGTGGCGGACTGAGTTACTGTCCCACCTGGACCCATGCGGTCCGCCATTTAACAGGCTTTTCTTCCCCGGCTGTCTCGCGGTCCTCACAGAGCTGACAGCGGGAGGGAAGACAGTACTGGATGGAGGGCGGGAGCTGCCTGAGGATAACAAGCAGGTGATTGGTTACTAGGATGAAGGGCAGTCCTAGCGATCAGTCTGTGGAAGGTAGGACAGTGGGATGGGGGGGGGGGGGGGGGGTGAAGGTAAAGGAGCTAAGGACACAAGTGTGGAGGGGGGGCGGGGGATAGTAGTGTGGAGGGGGGGGGGGGGGGGGGGGGGGATAGTAGTGTGGAAGGGGGGGGGGGGCGGGGATAGTAGTGTGGAAGGGGGGGGGGGCGGGGACAGTAGTGTGGATGGGGGGGGGGGGGGGCGGGGATAGTAGTGTGGATGGGGGGGGGGCGGGGGACAGTAGTGTGGATGGGGGGGGGCGAGGACAGTAGTGTGGAGGGGGGGGGGGGGGTTGGGGGGGGACAGTAGTGTGGGTTGATGTAAAAAGAGGCAGAGTACTCTTCAGTGAAGGGGGCAGAGGATAGTACTGTTGTGTGACTGTAGTGTGAAGGGGGTGAGGACTGGGGGGGGCAACTGAGGACTGTAGTGTGAGGGGAGCGGGGCCTGAGGACTGTAGTGTGAAGGGGGGGGCGTGGCTGAGGACTGTAGTGTGAAGGGGGCGTGGCTGAGGACTGTAGTGTGAAGGGGGGCGTGGCTGAGGACTGTAGTGTGAAGGGGGGGCGGGGCTGAGGACTGTAGTGTGAAGGGGGGGCGGGGGCTGAGGACTGTAGTGTGAAGGGGGGCGGGGCTGAGGACTGTAGTGTGAAGGGGGGGCGTGGCTGAGGACTGTAGTGTGAGGGAGTGGGCAGCACAGTGGCGGTTGGCTCATTGTATTTATATGTGCTGCTGGGGGAGTAAAAGACCCCCCCCCCCCCCACCACCAGCAGCAGGAGGTACACAGTGGTGGTTGTAGAAGGGACTGGAGGTCCCCCTCCCCTCTACTTTAAAACATAAATGTCCCTTCTCCATGGGGTAACTGATTTGGACCCAATGCAGACAACTTCACATCCAATTCTCTTCCCCCCTCCCCCCATGGGAGTTTACCATTGCTATAGAGCCCCTCCCATTACATCAGTCTTCTATCACTTCAGACCCCCAAACTCCCAGTCTTAGTCCGTAGGGTTCAATATTGAGTTGGCCCCGCCCTTTGCAGCTATAACAGCTTCAACTCTTCTGGGAAGGCCCCCCACAAGGTTTAGGAGGGTGTCTATGGGAAGGTTGGACCATTCTTCCAGAAGCACATTTGTCAGGTCAGGCACTGATGTCGGGGGAGGGGCACTGATGTCGGGGGAGGGGCACTGATGTCGGGGGAGGGGGCCTGGCTCGCAGTCTCCGCTCTAATTCATCCCAAAGGTGTTCTATGGGGTTGAGGTCAGGACTCTGTGCAGGACAGTCAAGTTCCTCCACCCCAAAACTGGCTCCTCCATGTCTTTATGGACCTTGCTTTGTGCACTGGTGGGCAGTCATGTTGGAACAGGAAGGGGCCATCCCCAAACTCCTCCCACAAAGTTGGGAGCAGGAAAATTGTCCAAAATGTCGCCTTTAAGAGTTCCCTTCACTGGAACTAGGGGGCCAAGCCCAACCCCTGAGGAACAGCCCCCACACCATAATCCCCCCTCCACCAAACTTTACGCTTGGCACAATGAAGTCAGGTAAGTACAGTTCTCCTGGCCACCGCCAAACCCAGACATGTCCATCGGATTGCCAGACAGAGAAGTGTGATTGGTCCCTCCAGAGAACACGCCTCCACTGCTCTAGAGTCCAGTGGCGGCGTGCTTTACACCACGGCATCCGACGCTTTGCATTGCACTTGGTGATGGAAGGCTTGGATGCAGCTGCTCGGCCATGGAAACCCATTCCATGAAGCTCTCTACGCACTGTTGTTGGGCTCATCTGAAGGCCACACCAAGTTTGGAGGTCTTTAGCTATTGACTCTGCAGACAGTTGGCGACTTCTGCGCACTGTGCGCTTCAGCATGCGCTGACCCCGCCCTGTCATGTGACGTGGCCTACCACTTGGTGGCTGAGTGGCTGTTGTTCCCAGTGGCTTCCACTTTGTTATAATCCCACTAACAGTTGAGCGTGGAATATTTAGTAGCCAGGAAATGTCACGGATGGACTTATTGCCCAGGTGGCCACCTATCACGGGACCACGCTTTATTTTGGCTCTCCTGTATGATGTGGGGGGGGTCATTGGCTCTCCTGTATGATGTGGGGGGGGGGGTCATTTGGTTCTCCTGTATGATGTGAGGGGGGGGGGTCATTTGGTTCTCCTGTATGATGGGGGGGGGGGGGGGGGGGGGTCATTTGGTTCTCCTGTATGATGTGGGGGGGGGGGGGTCATTTGGTTCTCCTGTATGGTGGGGGGGGGGGTCATTTGGTTCTCCTGTATGGTGGGGGGGGGGTCATTTGGTTCTCCTGTATGATGTGGGGGGGGGGTCATTTGGTTCTCCTGTATGATGTGGGGGGGGGTCATTTGGTTCTCCTGTATGATGTGGGGGGGGGGGGTCATTTGGTTCTCCTGTATGATGTGGGGGGGGTCGTCATTTGGTTCTCCTGTATGATGTGAGGGGGGGGGGTCATTTGGTTCTCCTGTATGATGTGAGGGGGGGGGGTCATTTGGTTCTCCTGTATGATGTGAGGGGGGGGGTCATTTGGTTCTCCTGTATGATGTGAGGGGGGGTGGGGGTCATTTGGTTCTCCTGTATGATGTGAGGGGGGGGGGGGGGGTCATTTGGTTCTCCTGTATGATGTGAGGGGGGGGGGGGGGGGGGGGTCATTTGGTTCTCCTGTATGATGTGAGGGGGGGGGGGGGGGGGTGTCATTTGGTTCTCCTGTATGATGTGAGGGGGGGGGGGGGGGGGGTCATTTGGTTCTCCTGTATGATGTGAGGGGGGGGGTCATTTGGTTCTCCTGTATGATGTGAGGGGGGGGGGTCATTTGGTTCTCCTGTATGATGTGAGGGGGGGGGTCATTTGGTTCTCCTGTATGATGTGAGGGGGGGGGGGTCATTTGGTTCTCCTGTATGATGTGAGGAGGGGGGGGTCATTTGGTTCTCCTGTATGATGTGGTTCTCCTGGGGGGGGGGGGGGGGTCATTTGGTTCTCCTGTATGATGTGGGGGGGGGGGGGGGGTTCATTTTGGTTCTCCTGTATGATGTGGGGGGGGTCATTTGGCTCTCCTGTATGATGTGGGGGGGGGGGGGGGGGTCATTTGGCTCTCCTGTATGATGTGAGGGGGGGGTCATTTGGTTCTCCTGTATGATGTGAGGAGGGGGGGGGGTCATTTGGTTCTCCTGTATGATGTGTGAGGGGGGGGGGGGGGGGGGGGGTCATTTGGTTCTCCTGTATGATGTGGGGGGGGGGGGGGGGTCATTTGGTTCTCCTGTATGATTTGGGGGGGGGCATCATTTGGCTAGTGTTTGTGGGGTGGTATCATTTGACTCTCCTGCATGAGGTGGGGGGGTCATTTGGCTCGTGTGTGTGTGTTTGTGGGGTGGTTTTATTTGGCTCACCTGTGTGACGCTGGGTTGTGGGGGGGTCATTTGGCCCTTGTGCGGGCGGGGTATTATTTGGCTCACCTGTGTGGGGGGGGGGGGTGTCATTTGGCTCTCCTGTATGATTTGGGGGGGGGGGGGGGTCATTTGGCTCTCCTGTATGATTTGGGGGGGGGGGGGGGGTCATTTGGCTCTCCTGTATGATTTGGGGGTGGGGGGTCATTTGGCTCTCCTGTATGATTTGGGGGGGTGGGGGGTCATTTGGCTCTCCTGTATGATTTGGGGGGGTCATTTGGCTCTCCTGTATGATTTTGGGGGGGTCATTTGGCTCTCCTGTATGATTGGGGGGGGGGGGGGGGGTCATTTGGCTCTCCTGTATGATTTGGGGGGGGGGGGGTCATTTGGCTCTCCTGTATGATTTGGGGGGGGGGGGTCATTTGGCTCTCCTGTATGATTTGGGGGGGGGGGGGTCTCATTTGGGGGGGGGGGGGGTCATTTGGCTCTCCTGTATGATTTGGGGGGGGGGGGGTCATTTGGCTCTCCTGTATGATTTGGGGGGGGGGGGGGGGGGTCATTTGGCTCTCCTGTATGATTTGGGGGGGGGGGGGTCATTTGGCTCTCCTGTATGATTTGGGGGGGGGGGGTCATTTGGCTCTCCTGTATGATTTGGGGGGGTCATTTGGCTCTCCTGTATGATTTGGGGGGGGTCATTTGGCTCTCCTGTATTGATTTGGGGGGGGGTCATTTGGCTCTCCTGTATGATTTGGGGGGGGGTCATTTGGCTCTCCTGTATGATGGGGGGGGGGGGGTCATTTGGCTCTCCTGTATGATTGGGGGGGGGGTCATTTGGCTCTCCTGTATGATTTGGGGGGGTCATTTGGCTCTCCTGTATGATTTGGGGGGGTCATTTGGCTCTCCTGTATGATTTGGGGGGGGGGGGGGTCATTTGGCTCTCCTGTATGATTTGGGGGGGGGGGGGTTTCGGGGGTGGGGTCATTTGGTCTCTCTCCTGTATGATTTGGGGGGGGTCGTTTGGCTCTCCTGTTTGATTGGGGGGGGGGGGGGGGGGGGGGGGGTCATTTGGCTCATGTTTGTTTGTGGGGTGGTATTATTTGGCTCACCTGGGGTGATTCTGGGTTCTTCTCTTGCAGGGACCGCACGTGCACCATTCTGAACGTAGAAGGTGATGCGTTTGGCGCCGGGATCCTCCAGGTGTACAGCGACCGGATGGCGGAGAAAAGCGCAGATGCAGTGGACTTGACGGCGGTCAGAGTGTTGGACCCTGAAGAGCAGCCGGAAGGGGACCCCTTATTAAAAACCCCCCCAAGTGATTGTGGACGGGGCTGCCCCCGTGGAGAAGGAATCCACCATGTAGACTGTTGTTGGGCGGGGCTATTGTTTTGCGCTCGTGCGCCCTGCAGGACTCTGTGCGCCCTGCAGGACTCTTGTGCGCCCTGCAGGACTCTGTGCGCCCTGCAGGACTCTGTGCGCCCCTGCGGGGGTCTTTGGGGGGCGCTTTTAATTATTTTTTTATATTAATATTATTTTTTTTACGTGGGTCTGTAACTTATGCTGTTGTGGTTATGGCGACAAGGTACCTTCTCCTCCAATCAGGGCGCTCGGGTTACCTCAATCTCTCCGATTCCAGAACCTTCTCTGTCTTACCGTGGGATCTGGTCCCGCCTCCTCCTCAAATGCTGCAAAGGTGTGGGCTTCCTGCCTCCAGCCCCCCCTTGGTGTGAGTGCCGCGTGGCTTGTAATTTTATTGTGGATGGGTGATGGGCAGGAGCGGAGGACCAAAGTGTGTGTGAGAGCGAGCCACCCGCTGGGCGTGCGTCTGTGGCAGAGCGAGCGTGCAGGCTGTGTGTGTGACTGCGGGGGCCCCTCCTTGGGGCCCAGAGTGTGTGTCTGGCTCTGGCCCAACCTGTCACCTCCATTTCCAGGTTGGGTGTGTGTGTTGGGTAGCGGTGACCTGAATCCTGTGTGCGTCCAGCTCCAGGCTGGCATGTGGCTGTCTCCAAGGCGGAGCATCAGCGTGCATACCGTGTGCTGGGTAGTGGGATGCGTGTTGCGGGCGTGTGGCCCCTGTGGTCATGTGATATTTATTCGCTGTACAAGGTCAAGGACATTCTGTTACTCATTATGTGACCTTCACACCGCGGTACGGCACGGGGCGGGGGACGCTCACCTCCTCAGACCTGCGCCGGGTGATGGGCGCTTCAATTAGAAAATAACGGTCAAGAAAATGATTGGTGTGTGGAGAGTCCAGTGATTGCACCCGAAAAATTGTGGGCGGGGTTTTATTGTAGGAAATGCGAGGCTGTCAGAGGCCGATTAAACACCTCACTAATTTCTGTGATCAATAACCTGTTTGCCGGACGCATGGCTCAGCTAATATCCAATACCACGTTCTGCGCGTTTCTGCGATCGGTAAGTTCCCCATCCATACTTGTGATTGGCCCACTATGATCAGGAAGCTTCCAGAGGTCACGTGACCCCAAAGGCCCGCCTCACGTGACCCAAAGGAACCCTTAAAGGGGATGAGAGCCATTTGGTGCCAAGGGGGTTAAAAAAAAAAAATAAATTGATGGAAATCCCGCGCGCTGTGATTGGTTGGCTCTCCTAGAATGGGTATTGTCTGTCACATGCTCCTCCTCCAGCTGTTCATGCCAGGTCTGTGACATTTGAAGCGGAGGGGAGGATGGGCAGCAAATCTGGGGCCTGACCACGCTGAGCGCCATCTTTCTGTGGACACATCAGCCATTGTAGACCTGAAGGTGGGGAAGTGATGTGGCGCCCTGTCTGTGGGAGAGCCGAGACCACCAGCACATTCCACCATGGAGCTTGTGGTCCACGTGTCTCCTCCCATCTCTTCCTATTGGCTGGTAGGGGGGGGAGCAGACAGGTCATTCTGGGGAGCGTCCAGCTCCACTGCTCCATGGAATGTGTTGGCCAGGAATGCCCCTCCCCCATGGATGTTGGGTGGTCCCATTCACAGCCAATTCAGGTGGAAAGAACCAAGCGCAACCCTCCATGGAGGAGGAGCTTCTATGGTGACATCAGGGATGTGTCTAGCCAACTGTGGGGGGCGCTCTTGTGATGATGAAAATACAAATGTGCCCCACCCCCACATGAATGTTCAGGAGAGGGTGGAGCTTCAGGTGAAAGGACAAAGCTAGATCAGGGCGGAGCCTCAGGTGAAAGGACAAAGCCAGATCAGGGCGGAGCCTCAGGTGAAAGGACAAAGCTAGATCAGGGCGGAGCCCTGAGTAATCGTCCTGTACTTACCACCCCCCCTTCTAGGGCTGAACTGATATAATAAACACACGAAGGCAGCTCTGTGATCAGTAAACATGTTTATTAAATAGGCTCCGTGTGCGTACTGCAATGTGACCCGTACAGCAGAGCTCAGACTGGGGGAGGGAGGAGCAGCACAAGGAGCCAATCAGTTCATGCTGATGGGAGCAGGCGGAGCTCATCACTGCTGTCTCTCCTTGTCCACAGGCCGGGGACCTCCACTGGTGGAAGTCGGTAGTGCAGTGACCCTCCCCCACCCAACTCCTGGCAGGGCTTCCAATCCAGGGGCGGAGCCAACTACAATCGTGACAGGTCCTCTTACCAATCCAATCAGCCCAATGAAGGTCAGGCGGTATCTCCAGCCTCCATCGGTTAAAGAGCACCTGTCACAGGGCGGTCCCACATCCATGGAGAGAGCAGGGGGCGGTCCCACATCCATGGAGAGAGCAGGGGGCGGTCCCCACATCCATGGAGAGAGCAGGGGGCGGTCCCACATCCATGGAGAGAGCAGGGGGCGGTCACACATCGAGCGGGGGGGGGGAGTGCAGGAGGCGGTCACACATCTATAGAGAGCAGGGGGGCGGGTCCCACATCCAGAGAGAGAGAGCAGGGGGGCGGTCCCACATCCAGAGAGGGAGAGAGCAGGGGGCGGTCCCACATCTATAGAGAGCAGGGGGCGGTCCCACATCCAGAGAGGGAGAGAGCAGGGAGCGGTCCCACATCTATACAGCGGGGGGGGGGGGGGGAGAGAGAACGCACACTCAGCGCTTTATTGGGAGAAGTCAGTACAGAGCAACACGCAACGTCGAAGGACGTCCAATCCCGGGTCACCCAGACCGGCCGGCACCGCGAAGTGGACCTGTCTCCGGTTCTGTGAATTGGTAGACGGGGAGATAAAATGGAGACTCGGTCACAATGTAATCTGACCAATCCTGGAGTGCAGGGGCGCAACCCCCTCCCCCACCATCAGGATGACTGGTGACAGGTCCACTTCATCTCCAGGTGACTAAATCTCATTGTGGGTGGAGGACACGTTCCATATATCAACAAATCAAATAACTGTTTAGGGGCCGTCCCAGAGAGCAGAGACGTGATTGGTCGCATCTAATCCTCCAGTTTGTGGCCCCCAATTCTATGAATGTTGAAAAGAAATTTGTCATTTCTGGAGGAGATCGGAGACTCGCCCCTGCTGGAAATATCCGTGTGGTAGGTGGGGACAGGGGCGGAGCCAAGAGCGGAACAGGGGGGGGCGGGCCCATTGCATCAGACTAAAAGCCCCACCCTACTATTAACCCCTCTATGCCAAACCCCTCCCAACTCCTAAAACCCCACCTCTACACTTAACCCCCTCCCAACTATAACCCTCCTCTACCCTAACCCCTCCCAACTCCTATAAACCCCTCCTCTACACCTAACCCCTCCCAACTCCAATAACCCCTCCTCTACACCTAACCCCTCCCAACTCCAATAACCCCTCTCTACACCTAACCCCTCCCAGCCCCTATATAACCCCTCCTCTACACCTAACCCCTCCCAGCCCCTATAACCCCTCCTCTACACCTAACCCCTCCCAACCCCTATAACCCCACCTCTACACCTAACCCCTCCCAACTCCACCTCTACGCCTGACCCCTCCCAACTCCTATAACCCCCTCCTACGTCTAACCCCTCCCCCAACTTCTATAAACTCCACACCTAAAACTCCCAACTCTATGGCACCCCCCCCCCCCCGCAGATCCTCCCTCACACCTGACCTTCCTGCCCCCTCACCCAAAGCTTTCCCTCCTTCCATCTCTCCCATTTCCCCCTCCTCCATATTGTAGGCTGTTGCCACACTGCTGCATTTTTCTTGTGTGTTCCCCTTTAAATCCTGTGAGACTCCTCCCACCCCCGGCACTGCGTTATGAAGTCCTGCTTGCTGCACCTTTGGCGCTGTTTTCAAGACCGCACCAAAAACACAGCCCCCCCATCACTGAATTGAATGGAAACTGTCAAAAATGCATCACAATCCCTCCATGTTTGCGTTTTTGACTGCCTTTCCTTCACGTGTGCAGGCGAGCAGAAACACGTATGCGATATTACCGCGTTTTCGTTCTGGATCGCAGCCTGAAGTCCTCCTGAGCATCGATCTCCAGAAGTGGTGGGGGGGCACAACTCTGGATTTTGGCGGCAGGCTGAGATTCCCCCCCCCCCCCCCGCCTTCATCAGATCTGCCTGGAAGGAATTTCTCCACCACAAAGGCTGCCCATACATTGTACAATTGTCCTTTAGATTTCGGTCACAGCGATCCGTATGCAGCCATGCCGGGGAAATCTGCAGGAAATTGTACCGTGTGTGGGCGGCTGATCCAATCCCGGATGAAGGGGGAGCGCCCCGTCGTCTCCGATATTCAGAGGGCGTCACATGGAGGAACACATTCTATACATTGCTATACGTAGCCCCCCCATGGGATCGCTTTATTTTTATCGCCCGCAGCCCCGACGTCTTTATATAACCTCCACAGAGGTGACCCGGCCGCCTCCTCAGCTCCACCTATATTTGGCGAGGCACGAGGGGCGCGGTGGCTGATTCCTCCTCGCTGCCTCAATTTACAAGCTGGATCCATCCGCCTCGCCTTTTCTTAGCAGCCATCCAAGGTCAACGCCGCGCTCTGCCGTTATACAGCGTGTGTGCAGCGTGCGCGGTGCTGCCCCCCCATGGCGAGCGATGGATCACCTAATCTATATACATGGTGTCACCTCTATATACACATACAGACATTATATATTAGCAGCAGACACACCCCCCTCCCCCCCAGCCAGATCTTCCCACGGATTATCCAACAGCCAATCAGACATCAGCTTACTGAACTCAAGGTGAAAGGGTATCCCTGATTGGCTGCACATTAGTTGTAGAGCTGAGAGTCTGAACAGGCGGATGATGGACAGACCGCTTCAAGGAAGGATGTGTGGGCCCCCCCAGCTGACTGCAACTCTCTGTCATGTCCTCCTCCATTCACACACGCAGGGCCCTATCCTCCAGAACTTCCCTCTCAGTCCTCCTAGTCTGGGCCAGTCTCATCTTCGACCCATCCTCAGGACAGCCAGGGTGGGTTATTGGGGTTCCTCAACTTAGGCCCATCCTCAGGACAGCCAGGGTGGGTTATTGGGGTTCCTCAACTTAGGCCCATCCTCAGGACAGCCAGGGTGGGTTATTGGGGTTCCTCAACTTAGGCCCATCCTCAGGACAGCCAGGGTGGGTTATTGGGGTTCCTCAACTTAGGCCCATCCTCAGGACAACAAGGTTGGGGTACTGGGGTTCCTCACCTCCAGCTCACCCTCAGGATGGCCAGGTTGGGGTACTGAGGTTCCTCACCTCAAGCTCACCCTCAGGATGGCCAGGTTGGGGTACTGGGGTTCCTCACCTCCAGCTCACCCTCAGTACGGCTAGGTTGGGGTACTGGGGTTCCTCACCTCCAGCTCACCCTCAGTACGGCCAGGTTGGGGTACTGGGGTTCCTTACCTCCGGCTCACTCTCAGGATGGCCAGGTTGGGGTACTGGGGTTCCTCACCTCCAGCTCACCCTCAGTACAGCCAGGTTGGGGTACTGGGGTTCCTCACCTCCAGCTCACCCTCAGGATGGCAAGGTTGGGGTACTGGGGTTCCTCACCTCCAGCTCACCCTCAGGATGGCAAGGTTGGGGTACTGGGGTTCCTCACCTCCAGCTCACCCTCAGGATGGCAAGGTTGGGGTACTGGGGTTCCTCACCTCCGGCTCACCCTCAGGATGGCCAGGTTGGGGTACTGGGGTTCCTCACCTCCAGCTCACCCTCAGTACGGCTAGGTTGGGGTACTGGCTTTTCTCATTTTCAGCTCATCCTCAGGATGGCCAGGTTGGGGTACTGGGGTCCCGCATCTTTGGCACATCCTCAGGATGACCAGGTTGGGGTACTAGGGATCCTCACCTCCAGCTCATCCTCAGGACAACCAGGTTGGGGTACTATGGTTCCTGACCTCCAGTTCATCCTCAGGACGGCTGGTTTGGGGTACTGGGGTTCCTCACCTCTGGCTGATCCTCAGGACAGCTAGGTTGGGGTACTTGGGCTCCTCACATCTTGCTCATCCTCAGCATGGCCGGGTTGGGGTACTGAGGTTCCTCACCTCCGGCTCATCCTCAGGACAGCTGGACTAGGGTACTGGGGTTCCTCACTTCTGGCTCATCCTCAGGACAGCTGGACTAGGGTTCCTCACCTCCGGCTCATCCTCAGGACAGCTGGACTAGGGTTCCTCACCTCCGGCTCATCCTCAGGACAGCTGGACTAGGGTTCCTCACCTCCGGCTCATCCTCAGGACAGCAGGTTTGGGGGGGGGTACTGGGGTTCCTCACCTCTGGCTCGTCCTCAGGACAGCTGGACTAGGGTTCCTCACCTCCGGCTCATCCTCAGGACAGCTGGACTAGGGTTCCTCACCTCCGGCTCATCCTCAGGACAGCAGGTTTGGGGTACTGGGGTTCCTCACCTCTGGCTCGTCCTCAGGACAGCCGGGCTGGGATACTTGGGTTCCTCACCTCTGGCTCATCCTCAGGACAGCCGGGTTGGGGTACTTGGGCTCCTCACCTCTGGCTCATCCTCAGGACAGCCGGTCTGGGATACTGGGGTTCCTCACCTCCGGCTCATGCTCATCCTCAGGACGGCCGGGTTGGGGTACTGGGGCTCCTCGATGGCTCTTTCACCAAATTTTAATTTTAGGAGCTCCACATGATTATTTGGCGCCTGTACCATGACCCCCGCGAATGGCAAAGTCTGTAGGGGCTGCAGGAAACTCTCAGGGAACTCTATATCTTGGGGGTGCCCCGTCCATGAATCCCGAGTCATCACCCCATCCCGAGGGTAGAAGGGCCACAGGTCCACATGTAGGTGATTGCTTTGGCTGTACTGGACCCTGAAGAAGTCTCCTTCCACGGCACGCTCCCACACAAAGCCCTCTGAGTCTATCAGTGAGCCCCCTTGGGCCCCCCGCAGCTCAGGGCACAGCCCAATGTCCTCCAGGTAGATGCCCAGGTCCACGTCATAGTCCCAGGGGATGATGTCGCGGAGACGGGCCGCCCCGAGCAAACTTCCTCCCTCCAGCCAGTAGCGCACATTGCTGGCCTCCAAAGTCTTGATGACGTGCGCCATAGTGGTCCTCAGAGCTCGGAGACAGCAGGGCGGGAGTCCAGCGACCTTCATACAGGTACTCCGGGGTCTCCCCGACCACCGTCCCGAAACAGCGGGGCGTCTCCTTGGAACACCCATACCATCGATCTCCTTCGGGGCCACGGACCAATCGTAAGCTCAAGGCTCGCATAGTGGCGGCCTCGTCTGCACGCTCCGCCTGGTCGGCCTTCCAGCGTCCGTGGTCTGTGGCCGGAAGAGGGGTGCGAGGAAACTTGGCTCCTTCCAGTATCTTCACCCCCCCACCCCCGCAGAGCAGACTGGATGAAAATGGCCGACTGGACTGGGCGGGAGAGAGAGGGAAACGGCAAGTCGAACAAGTCACGGGATCTCATCAGGAGGACAGCAGATCCGCCGATGGCACCACAGGCTTCCCCTGCACCGGCCGCCCTGTACTCCGCCGTCCAGTCCCTCAGGGACACATTCAGGTGTAAGCAGTGCAGCACAGTCCCAGCGCCGGCCGCTATGATCCGGACTCCAGTCGGAGCCTCCCGCAGAGCCCAGGCCATCCTGTCCAGCAGATCAGGGGGGTCTAGAGATGTCCCGTCCGGTACCAGAGCCACCAGGCGG